AAACCTCAGAAGAAGAGACTGGGCGCAACTTCCTTCGTCACAAAATGTAAATAAAATTGGAGTGGCGTCAGATTTTAGCAGTTGAAGGATTTCTCTTTTGTCTTTGGTAAAAGACCAACAAGTAATTTCTCCTGCTAGCGCTAAACCAGCAAGTTTGTTTTGGTCGCATTTACCCAGAATGCCCTGCGTTGTAGTCTGCTTTTAGAGCAGTCTCCAGTCAAGCAGCACCAGCACCATAGTTCACGCTACAGAACCTTTTTAATGCTTGAATAATTTATAAGTAAGAGGTAAATAGAAACAATTATTTAACAACATCAATAAGAGATAAAAATCTGACAAAGCACAAAACAACAAAACCTTGAGACTGGACCAAAACAACCACATGATGAAGATGAGCGTTACTATCGCCTCGTCTGCTGATGCAGCCGCTCTTAGTGAGCAAACTACATCACATCATGATGAAACCCCCAATCACACACCTTTATTATCCATTGCCACTGTCCTGCTCGCCTCGCCGTAAAAAGTTGTTCTTTAGAGCCAACAAGTCACCGCAAAGACAAACACTCGGATGTTTTCAGTTCATAAGACTCTGAAGCAGCTGGTGCCCTTGAAGAAAACTCTTTTGGTCACCAAATGCTGCAGTGGAACCGTCTAGCTGCCAAAATTTACTGTGCCCAGTGTTCACAGTCGCTGGTTTTCTGTGAGATTTATGGTGCGTTCCCACCAGCCCTGTTCAGACCGATTTGATCCAGCTCCTGTTTGTCTACAGAGTCCAGTTCGTTTGTCTGATGGAGACCAAAAAACAAAAGCAAACCTCGGTCTGGGTTCAGTTAAAGCGAACTCTGGTTCGGTTCAAATGCAAATGTGACCATCAGTCGGACTGGAGACCGCTCTAACAGCAGGAAGTGGACTACAGTGCAGGGCATTCTGGGTAAATACAACCAAAACAAACGCGTTAGCCTAGCGCTAGCAGGAGGTATGGCTCATATTCTTTAGCTAAAGACAAAAGAGAAATCCTACAACTGCTAAAATCTGACGCCAATACATTTTTCTTTACATTTGGTGAAGAAGGAAGTTGAGCTCAGTTTCTTCAGTGGTTCTTGGAGCAGCGCCCCCACAGGCGAGGAGGGGAACAGGTTTGACACAGTTCAGTGTGAAAGAGGACAGCAGCAAATGTTGCAACTTTGGTCCCAAATCGAACCAAGTCTACCAGACTATCAGGTGTGAAAACACCCTTAAGATATCTGAGAACCCGTTTTTGCCATGTTGGTAACAATGGTGGCTAGAAACATTTTAAATGTGAAAAGAATAAGCAATGGTAGTTTTTCAAGTAAAGAACCTTCAAATTTCTTAAATTTCTTAATGCATCGAACATGAATCTAGTTTTGCTGCACCTTTGGCTGCATTTCAGGTGAATAAAAACCAGTAGTTAGCACTGCTAGCTAAAATGTTAGCTGCATTCGCCCTAAAGCTCTAGTTCTGCTAACACACACTAAAAAAAGTGTGAACATGTAGAGGGAAAACAGATCTGCTGTGTAAATGGACTTCAAAATAAGAGCATGAATACAAACGTCTACATGTGCATTTCTTAATTTCAACACCGATGTCAAACTTTATTCAGCTAAAGGTTTACAGACAGCCAAATAAATGATATGTTTTCAATTAATTATTGTAATTAATTATTATAGACTAAATAAACTCAAAATGTTATAAAAGAGGTGCAAAGTATTTGTGAAAACATTTATTTAGGAGAAGCTCAGTATGCTAAACGTTTTCAAAGTTAACAAACTTGGTCTACAGCCAAAGAAAAACAAAATATATCACACTGAAATACTTTAAAGAGGTATTAATACTTCTGCATCAGATGCTGATGTAAATACATCTCCTGTTTAATGATAAACTGTTCAGATGTGAGACGGACTTTCTGCAGCACCAAGATCCTGGAGCAGCTCAGAATAAGGCAGACGGATTTGACCATCAGTTTTTATTTAGAGGTTAAATTTAGAGATATGCTGCAGGAGAAGAGGAAGAAGGAGGGATGCAGACTTAATCAGCCGAGACAGAAAACACTTGGAGGGAGGCTGGGACAAAAACAGGGAGAGGAGAATAGAGATTAAAAGAAATAAACTAACACGGAAAAGGGAGATTAAATAAAGAGAATTAGGAGAAAGGGAAGAAAAAGAAAGGAATGTTTCACCAGGATGAACAGAGTGAAGAAAGAGCGACAGCTGCCAGTTTTAATCAGTCACAGACAGCTGATTTATGTCTGTAAGGTCTAACAGGAACCAGACAGAAACGAGCCACCATTGTTTCCATCAATAAGCATTCATACAGTTCAGTCTAAGTCAAACTTTAAGTAAAAAAAGTTCACCAGTCTCCAGAACTCCAGGATCAAATTCAGGAACATATGAGCAGCGTTTTCAGTACAAATGTTGGGAAAATTTATCAATATTTCACTAATATCATTTTGGTGAATAAAAAAAAACAAAAAAACGCTGCACCATCATCCTCCAACTACTCTTCCTGTCTTCTTCTTTGTGGTTTCTGCCAGTAGTAACATCCTGTTGTTGACCATGTGACTCAAATGATGCAAAAAATAGTGTTTCCATTTCAGTTTGGTGAAATAAACTAATTTCACTCCAGTAAAAAAACTTTTCATTGAGAAACTTTTTTTTTTTTTTTTCTACTGGTATGCCGCTTCTGGATTGGCTGCTTCGCAACACCTGCATTTTCTTTGGAATATTTAAGGTATGGTCTACAAAATCACTTAAATGTATCGCCCATTTTAAGCTGAAACACAAGATGTGCAAAGTTTCAGTAGGTATGAATATTTTTGCAGCTCAGTTTATTTGTTAGTTTTCTGTCCCTCCAGTAATAAATCATGATAAAATCTTAGGATTGTTTCTTTTCCATCCATCTTGAGTTTTTAGGGTCCGTTTAGTTTGAGCTCTCATCACTTTTGGTGCCAATAACCTTAAAGGTCAAATTTAGCTGCAGCATCGAAGCCTGATGTTGGTTAAAAACCAGCTCTTTGTGGATTACATCAATACAAGAAGAAATATTGACACAGTGGTGAGGATGAGAATAATAATTTAAAATCCTTTTCCTGATCCGAACCCAAATAATCCTCCATCATCTTTCTAAAACAGCTGCAGCTTTCTGTCTGCTTCACAAACAAGCACCAGATCCTTCAACTTTGACACATTTTACACACCTCACTGAGTCACTTTCTCTCACTTCATCTCAGCAGAGTAAAAAGAAAAACAAACATCTGTAAACGAGCAGCAGAACACGCCCAGTTCTGACCCGGTGAGACAGAAAAGTTTAATCCAATCAACCACAAACATTGCAGAGATTCCTATAGAATCAAACAACATCCAGAGATTTTCATCTTAAGGACGACTGACTAAATATTTTTGGAGCCACATTTGTAAAATCAGGAAATTATTACAACAGAACCTTTCTGGCAACATGAAGTAGGCTGAAAAGTGTCAAAAAGCAACACATCTTGGCCCAAACTAAATAAATGTAACAACAGGTTAAATTTATTTAATGACCAGTTGATGTCATTTTCTCATTGACATCAACTGGTCTAATTTCATAGGGGAAATATTAATCAGAATTCACATTTTGCAAATGTTTGTGCTTCCATTTGGGCTTCAACTGCTTCTAAAACCAGTCACCTAGCAACCCCAGCAGAACTCTACCCTGTTACCTAGCAACCAAAAACTGAGCTCCAGCACGTTTGGTCAGCTGGTTAGCGCTGTATGCAGTGTACAATAGCAGCTTATTTTTTCCCAGCTGATAGTTCAGTCGACTGTCTGACTGAGACCAAAGTTGCAACATTTATTACATTTTCAGCTGCTTTGGTTCACTTTCCCCTCCTCGCCTGTGGGGCACCGCAACAAGAACCACTGAAGAATATTACATGCAAAGAAGAATCAAAGCAACACTCCAGGTCTGTTTTTGATGAAGGGATAACATTATACACTGCAAAAACACAAAATCTTACCAAGAATTTTATATATTTTCTAGTGCAAATGTCTTATTACACTATATGTAGCTGAAAAGCTACTTGTAAGTTATTTTTGTCTTATTTATCTTGTTGTAAGTCAGTTATTCCTTAATTATTATAAGGGAATAATAATCTACTAATGGAACATGTACTTTGTTAAAAAAGTACATGGAAGCTCCTTTTCTTCCTGAACAGTTACTTGTAAGTTAGTTTGATCTTTTTTCAAGTGTGCTAAGATATTTGCGTTTCTTCAGAAATGTTGATGAATTTCAGAAAGTTATTTGTGTATTTGCAGTGTTCTGTGATATAATGCTAAAATTTTTTTGACTTTATATAATATTGACAGTTTAATTAGTTAGTTTAATTACTTTGCATGTTTGTAACATTTTGTAATATTTTCTCTATAACAATTAATTTGATTAAGTAATTATAAAGTCTCCTGGTGAAAATTTGTTTCATGAGCCACACAAAATCAGTGCCTGGGTTGGAAATGGTCCCCTCACCACACCTTGGACACCGCTGCTGTTAACCGTTTGCTCACGCTGTTTGTGCTGCAAGACGACGTACAATAGTTGATACCAAACTAATATAAAGTATCACACTGAGCACGACAGCAAGTTGAGGGCCTTAAAGAAGCCCAAAAAGATGCAGCAACACGACAAAACTCCACGAACTAGGCCGCCATTCCGCTCCCCAATCTCTTTCTATTCATAAATAAGACGATCAAAAACAGCCGGCCAACGCGTGTGAATTATTTCCACGCGTGGATCACGTAACACATGTGTGTGAACACGTCAAACAGCGCGTCCAGTCCACCGGATCACTGCGGTAACCTGCACCCAAATGCAGGCCGGCTTCCCTGCAATAAAAAACACCCCGCACCTCGAGTCCTTCCTCTCACGCAAGGAATGACACAGTAAAAATAAGAATTAATTTTTTTTTTTTTTTTTTTTTAAAGCCCCGCGGGGAAATGTTGGGGCCTTACCGTTAGATTCGCCCTCGGACTGCTGCTTGCTCGGGTTTGGATCGATAAGCGGAGCGGGGATGAATGCTGGGGGGAGGCTCCGTCTTCCCCTCTACCGCAGGAAACGCTTCATCGGGACAAACGCACGGAGCGTGCGGCGCGGGGACAATGCGGCCGCAGCAGCGGGAGACGCCGGCCGGGAGCTGCAGTCGGTGGAGAGCCGGTGGAGGGCGATGATGATATCCATAGAGGTCCTCCGCTTCCACCTTACACAGCCGCTACGTCCTCCTCTTCCTCCTCCTCCTCCTCTCCGCCGGTGATGCTGGAGAGAAATAGCAGCATCAGTGCGGAGAGAGAGAGAGAATAGTACAATTATACCAGCAGCCACCAGGGGGCGCGCTTCACATGAAATCCTCTTTTTTTTCCTTTTTTTTTAAACACACAGATATTGTCAGTGTGTATAGGGGTCTTAAAAATAGAAAACAAAATTGAGAAAATGACCGCTGTTCTATCAGATAGCCATACACTGTCAGGATAGCATACATGCAGTGACTAGCATGCCCGCGCATGCGCATTAAGAAGTCCGACCGTCAGCGGAGTTGTCAGTTCAGCATGCAACAAGTTATGATGAAAATAAGTCATTAAATTGTTCATAATAAGATATAATATGATAACTAGATAGATATACATGCGTTGTCGTGGTTTCAAAGTGTATTTAAAGCAAGGTCTGGCTGCAGCTGCAGTCAACTACAACACATGCCCGTGTAAAACTACTACTTAACCGCTAAGTCAGGATGCCATACAGCTGTTAATAACCAAGTGTATGATGATCTACGTCATGATTCTATGTTGCTGATTAAATAAAATCATATGGTAATAACAGCGTATACATGTCTGAGCTAAGCGTATGACTATCTGACAGAACACCACCAAAAAAGCTCACAATTAAAAACAAACAAAGAACTCAAAGTGGAAAATTAGCAATAGCATTTTGAGAAATTCGAGAATCTCAGAAATATAGGGAGAAAAAAGTAGGAAATTTCTAAATTTGAAGGTGAAAAACTTGCTAGAAAAATTTTCAGAAATTTTGAGATTAATCTCAGAAATTTTCAAGGAAAAAATGGGAAATATCAGTTTCAAAGGTAAAAATTTGACTTCTAGTTTTCAACACATAAATTAAATATTTAGTTGCCAAGTTAAATATTTAGCTTTTTAACTAAATTGTTTGAAGCTACATGTTTATGAACTACTTAGCTGGTAAGAGGCTAAGAATTTAGTTTGGAGCTTGAAATGTGACTTTAAAACTCAATATTTTGTTTGGAGATATGATTTAGCTTGTTATTTAAACATATAGCTTTCTGGCTAAATATTAAGTTTGTAGCTACATCTTCAACATAAATAATTATCTTGAAACTAACATTTACAAATTAATAATTAATACATTTAAAAAGTAGACCTGCCAGATTCTCTAAATCTTAAATTTGACAGACAAATCTAAACATTTTTAGATCTACAGTGTTATAAGACGGGAGGTTCAGTGCATTGTTTTCTTACGCCTTGGGCCGGCTTGGTCTCGGAACTGTTTTTCCTCTGTAGTGATGATTCCAAACTGTAAAAAGACAGTCAGTTTTAAGATTGCAGAAAAACGTTTCCTACTAAATATGATCATAATGGTCTAATAAAAGTTAATGAAGAGGGGAAAATCAGCGCGGCTCCTTTAAATCTTCAGGAGGGCGGAGTCTGTGCGGCGGAAGTGTTTCTGTAGGACTTTATAAAACGCCTTTCTTCATGTTTTTAACATTAAACCTTGCTTTTCTTCGGTCAGATAGCTGCTGTGTCGTAATCTCGTCTAGTTCAAATAATGTCGGAGTCCATAAAGAATGTCGCGATATTTGGAGCCACGGGAATGACCGGGCTGGCGACGCTGCCGCAAGCCGTGGCTGCAGGTGAGCTTTGCGGGGAGAAGCGACCGGGAATGACGGAGGTCGTGTGGATGTTTATTAAACAGGCTGCTGGGGTTTGTTTACTTATCTCATGTTTTCCACTCAAAAGTGCGTCAGCGTCTGTGAACGGAACTTTTTAAAAAAAATACACTTAATAAAAATCTCACAAACCTATTTATTTTCCTTTAAAGATTAATTTTAACATAATATAATAAGCAGTTACTATTCAGATACAACCAGTGTTATATACAAAATAAGATTTAAAAAAAATTTATTCCCTGCAAAAGTTCACTCTTAATGCAAGTGCTTGTAATTTTTTTGTCTCACTAAAATAAGAATTTTGCTTCTCTAAGGGAACAAATAAAAAACTAAAGTTCAAATAGAAATGCTTGGAAAAGCTAAACATTTTCACAATATAATAATATTTAACTGATTTGCATTTTAAATTAAGTGTGAAGTAAACTTTCACTTGACTTATAGGAACTGAAAATATATTTTAGCTCGATCTACTTTACTTTCTGAACCAATCAGGTTGCACATATATTATGTAAGCATTTATTTATTTGTTTATTTATTTATTTTTTACAAATGTGAGTCCTAAGATCTACAAGCATTTTACAGGATGCTGTAAAATCACCAACGTGTGTCATGTGATGAGAAAAGTGTAATTTTAGCAGCATTTTCATTTCCTTCTGCCCACCGTGAAATCTGCTGAGTCATGTTAACCGTTAGGTCGGCGTTTTGCCGAGTCATAATAAGGCGATAGTAGAAAGCTGTTCTCTATCTCGCCTGAACACAAAGGGCGGGATTCTTGGGGCGTTACTGGTAAAATTAAACGTCTTTTTCGATTTTTTGTTACACAAGTTTACAGTTGACTAAAGTGAAGCTATTAGCATCTAGAGACATTTTTGGCTCGAACTCGGTCAGAATGGATCAGCAGCGTCTGTAAATACCTGACTGACCGTTTCTGATTTTAATTGTTTCCTTTTTTGTTTTGTTTTTCACCAGGATACAGCGTGACCGTTCTGGTGCGGGACGCATCCAAGCTGCCGGAGGACCACAAGGCGTCCAGAGTGGTGGTGGGTGACGTCCTGAATAAAGACGACGTGAGGAAGACTCTGGAAGGCCAGGACGCAGTCATCATCATCCTGGGGACCAGGAGTGACCTCAGTAAGGCTTCTCATAATAAATCAGAAATATTTGTATCCAAAAATGAGAGAAAGGTATGGAGAAACCTTTGTTTGAAGACTTCCATGATTAAAGTGTAGCTGGCCCCGGTCTGAAAGCTAAGCCCCGCCCTCTGGCAAATTTTGAACAAT